GTGCACTTCGGGGCATTAGGTCCGCTTGCACTGCTATCCAGCCCTCACCCCGACCGTCCAGAACTCTTCGTCTTCCCACGCCAGAACTCAGCCCCCAGCGGACACTGACTCCCCCCACCCAGGCCCCCGCCCTGGCGTCCCTCCACTCTCGTTTCCGGCTCTGTGAACTTGACCGCCCCGCCTACTCACAGAAGGGGAATCCTACCGTGGCGTCCCTTGGCGACTGGCTGATCTCACTTCCCGTAACATCCTCCAGGCTCGTCCGCGTTGCCGCCTGAGTCAGAACCTCCTTCCGTCTTGAGGCCGAAGCCACGGACGGACGTGCCACGTTTTGCTCACCCACCACCCACGGATGGGCCCTCAGGTTGCTTCCGCCTTTCGGCTGTTGTGAATAGTGCCGCTGGGAACGTGGGCGTGCGGGTACCCGTTCAAATCCCTGCTTTCAAAGCTTTGCGGTAAATACCCCAAACTGGAATTGCTGAATGCGATGGCAATTCTGTGTTTACTTCCTGAGGCGCTGTCACCCTGTTTTCCACGGTGGCCCGACCGTTTCCCATCCCCGCCAGCAAGGCCCAAGGATTGCAGTTTCCCCACATCCTCGCTAACATCGTCGCTTTCTATTTTGGTTTGGTTTTGGGTTCTTGGTGTTTTTTATAATCACCTCCTAGTGAGTCTGGGGTGTTTAGTGTTGCTTTTGATTCTGGGCGCCCCCTTTCCGTTCACGGTCCCTTCTCTACTCTTCCTGATGTTAGCCAGAGCGGTCCTCCAGGAGTGCATCCCCTTGGGGGTGGGGAGGGGCCGTGTGCTTGCCCAGAGGATGCCCCCTGCTCTAAAGGAACACAAGACTGCTTGGAGAATCAGCGGTGGGCCAGGAAAACAAAACTCCGCCCATATTTGGTGAGCACCACGGTCTTGCCAGGGGCTGGGGTCAGAAGGGTGCGGATTGAGGCCAGCTCCTCCCCTAAGGAAGTCTACCTGCAGTCTAGGAGGTGAGACACTGTGGGTGACCCACCCATGAGACACTGTCCTGCCTGCACCATCTTGTTGTCAGGGCTCATCTCTCAAATTAGAGGCTAAAAATGCCAAACATCTGCCTCCCCACACTTCCTTACGTGGAGGAATGGGCAGGTGGCCCAGTTCTGTCATTTGGGACCTGAGGTCTGTTGGGGACCTCTGGGAAAGTTTCGCATCCTTAACAAGTATAGTAGGGAGTAGCATTTTCCTCTCCTTCCCTATGGACCTTATTGTGGGGAGATGTGATGTCTGGGGCTGCGGCAGCTCTCTTGTCTCCATGAGGTGAGGATGTTATCATCATGCTGGGGAAGTGGAAAAATAAGAAGATGCTAGGTCCTTACTGCTATCACTGAGCTCCTGAATCAACCTCAAGTTTCTAATCATGTGAGAACAATAAGCCCTGATCATTAAAGCCACTTTTCACGGAATATTCTATTACTTGTGGCCCAAGGCATTCTATCTGATAAAAGAGGCTGACGAAAACGAAGAGTCACAGATACCAGTGGAAAATTCTCGCTGGGCTGCATCTGGTGAAGGAGCTGTATGTGGTGCATTTGATGGGGAATGAAGACCCGGTCAGGAAAGTCAGGACAGCATCCCCAAGGAAGTGACCACTGAACAGAGGTCCGGATGAAAACCTGTAGACCTTAGGCAAAGGGAACAGCCTCTGCAGAGAGAGTGTGGGCGGTCCCCAGGAGGGCATTAGAGTCACTTGGGGAGGTTGTAACAGTTACAACACACGATGCCCAGCAGGATTGAGAACCATGGACCAAGCGGCCTGCAGGGTGTGGGTGAGGGAGGGGCAGAGGAGGGTGGGGCTTTGGGCCCGGCTGTACCCTGAAAGGAGGAGATCGCAGCAGCCATTAGGCTGGGCAGCCCTGTCCCTGTTGACCCTCGTGCTGCTGGGTCTCCCGCTGAAGTGAGTTGAATGGCGGCCCCCAAAAGATGTGTCCGCCCAGAACCTCAGAATCAACCTTATTTGGAATAAGGGTCTTTGCAGATGTAATTAACATAAGGATCTCGCGATCACTTTGAAATCGGGTGGGCCCTAAATCTGAGGACAGGTGTCCTTATAAAACGAGAAGAGAGAGGGGCGTCTGGGTGGCCCAGTCGGTTCAACGTCTGACTCTTGATTTCAGCTCAGGTCGTGATCCCTTGGTTTGTGAGATCAAGCCCCGTGTCATCAGCAGGGAGCCTGCTTGGGATTCTCTCTCTCTCTCTCTCTCTCTCTCTGTCTCTTTCTCTTTGCGCCTCATCCCCTCTTAAAATAAACAGACATTTTTGGGGCACCTGGGTGGCGCAGTCGGTTAAGCGTCCGACTTCAGCCAGGTCACGATCTCGCGGTCCGTGAGTTCGAGCCCCGCGTCGGGCTCTGGGCTGATGGCTCGGAGCCTGGAGCCTGTTTCCAATTCTGTGTCTCCCTCTCTCTCTGCCCCTCCCCCGTTCATGCTCTGTCTCTCTCTGTCCCAAAAATAAATAAAAAACGTTGAAAAAAAATTTTAAAAAAAAATAAATAAATAAAAAATAAACAGACATTTTTAAAAAATAAAATGAAAAGAGAGAGATACAGAAACATGAAGGACAGAACACCGTTGCAGACAGCGGTGGAGACCAGAGCAATGCATCTACAGACCACGGAATGCCTCAGAAGCCGGGAGAGGGGCATGTGATGGATTCTCCCCAGAGCCTCCAGAAGGAACCCCTCTGCCAACACTTTGGACTCTGGCCACCTGCATGGTGAGAGCAGAAGTTTCTATTGTCCTAAGCTGCTCAGTCTGTGGCCATTTGTTACAACCGCCCGGGGACACTGCGATGCCTCCCGCGTTGTCCATTGGGGCCCGGACCGAGCAAAGCAGAGCATCCTTGTTTAGGAGCAAACCGCAGCCCCCCTCGGCTGGCCTGGCACTGGGATGGTAGCCTGGGCGAGGAGGGGCCATCTCCTCAGCTCTGCGGGAAGCTTGTGATGTTGTGGCAGAAACCGCCCCCGCCCAAGGTGACCTTCTCATGACAAACCCGTCCCTGGCATCAGTTATTCACGTGGAGCATCTTGGAATGTGCTCCAAACGCACGGGCCCAGGCTTTTTGTTGTTACCCCCTCCGCTGCCTTTAAAGACATTTGTCCAACCCGCGCCTGGCAGAGAAACAGAGAGACGGGGCGTTTGGGAGGGGCGGGGAGCACAGCGCCCACGGGGCTTCTCCAGCTTGCTGGCAAAGGGCTCTCGGCGGCGGCCCCTCGGCGGGCCTTGAAAGCGCGTGTCTCCTCGCAGAAAGAGCTGTCCACCGGCCGCCGGGGCCTTTGATTCCTCCCTGACAGGGTGCTGACGGATTGATCTGGTGCCCGTACATAATTCATGAGCCCCTGAGCAGCTGTGAATTCTGCACAGGCCTTTTCCGCCGTGCGGACGAAGCGGTTGGGGAGGGGGGTCCGGGAGGCGGGCCCGCCCCGTGGTCTGTTCTGTTGACGGTCCCCACGCTGCCGATGCCACCGGAGGGACCGAGCTAACGGGACGCTCTGGGGCTCGGGGAAGCGGCCCTCTCTGACGTCACAGCCACCTGTCCACGGTCTGCCATCTCAGGGGCAAGGGCTGTGGGGCGCATGCCCCAATCTCCCCTCCGTGTGGGCCTGAGCGCCCCCTTCTAGATGGCCTCCTGGGCAGGGGCCCTCGGGCCACAGTCCCGCAGATGCGACTAGCTGGGTGACCTTGGGCGTGTTACTCGGCCTGCCTGAGCCAAGCCCTGTCCCGGTGGAGGCACGGTGATGACACGCTGTAGGCCAAAGGCGCTGTCCCTCCGCAGCAGAGCGTGTGGGGCTGTCAGTGGTAGAGGCGAACCGTCTAGCACATTACCGCAGTCTTCCACTGGCCGCCCTGGGGGTGATGGCCCCTCTTCCCGGAGTGTGGCCACAGGCAGGCCCTCCGGACCTCATTCCCGCTTGTACTTGAAAGCACAGAGCAGGATCCCAACAAAACAGGAATAAAGCCACCTGTAGGCAGTAAAAAAGGCTTTTCAAATGCAATTTCCTGGAACCCAGGGTTATGGGTTCCCAAGGAGGCCAGCAAACATCAGAACCATCTAGGGCTTTGACAGGGCAGTGCCCAGGCCTCCCCAGGAGTTCCAGCTCAGGGGTGCGGGTGACCAGTCGCCCACCAGTCCTCAGGGTTGTGACCCCAGTGTCCACCACCCGGCCAGAAACAAGTTAGGCAGAAAAGGCCTTGGGACCGCTCCACAGAGCATTTTCCAGCTGGAGCACGGCTTGAGGTGTTTTTGCAAAACCACTAGGTTGTCCTTGATTTCCCAATATTTCTGTTTGGTTGAGGACATTGAATCCCCCCCCACCCTTCATGTTATTTATTGTTGACAGATTTCTTTTTTCAAATCGCAAAAGGAATACCTACCTAAATGTTTGATCTCTTTTTCCTCCACGTTTTCCTGTATGCAAAGTCTTTTAGTATGGAAAAAGCAATATATAATCTCATGCCAAAAAACGTAGAAAACAGAGAAGCAGAAAGAGATCAAAATCTCCACAATCGCTCTCTCCAAAATGACGGCCATGAATGAGCGTGTTGGTCTATGCCTTCCCAGGACTGTGCCAGTGTGAACACAGAGACATCCTATTTTACTGTAAATTTTCTTATTGTGGAAAAGCATACATAACACAGGGGCACCTGGCTGACTCCGTCGGTAGAGCGGTAGAGCGTGTGACTCTTGATCTCAGGGCTGCGAGTTCAAGCCCCGTGTTGGACGTAGAGCTTACTATCACAAAGCTTACCACTCTCGCCATCTTTAAGTGCCCAGTTCAGCGACATGAAGCACACTCACCCTGTTGCAGCTGTCGTCACCATCCGTCTCCAGCACTTTTCCATTTTCCCAAAAGGGAAACTCTGTCCCCATTAAACACGACCCCCCATTTCTCCTCCCCCAGCCCCTGGCGCCCACCCGTCAGCTTTCTGTGTCTCTGACTTTGATGACTCCAGTTGGAATCGTACAGGGTTCGTCCTCACGTAGCATAACGTCCTCCAGATTCATCCATGGTGTGGAGCGTGTCAGAATTTCCTCCCTTTCCAAGGCCGAGAGAGACATCCTGTGTATGAAATAAAGTTATACTGTGTGGTACAGACTTCCATGCGCCCGCGTCTTTTTCATACAATGTTAGCTTGAAAACAGCCTCCCATCAGAAACTTATCCATAACTTGCTTCCACGTTGTCTCTCACCGGTTATACCCTCCCGGAAGCAGCCTTGGGTTGGGAGCAGGAAGCCGGGGGCCTCTGTAGGGGGCAGGCAGGGGTCCGCAGGACCACCCCCAGGATGGGTGACTCTCTAGAAAGGCTGAAAGGACTCAACATATAGTTGTATCCCAGCAAAAGGATATGAAACAAAATCAGCAAAGGGGAAGAGGCGGTGGGATGGAGGCTGGAGGAAGCCAGGCACGGGCTTCCAAGAGTCCTCTCCCCCTGGAGTCACACGGATGGGCTTAACCTTCCCCACAACATGTTGCCACAACGCACGAAGTGCTGTCTACCAGGGAAACTCCTTATTACAGGCCGGTCACATAAGCACCCTCTGCCTAACACACGCCAAACATCCTTACTACTCAAAGGAAAGCAGGAGTTCGGCATAAACCACGTGGTTCGCACAAACAGTTGAGGCACAGTGAGCCATTCTTATCAATTAGGGGATGGTGGAAGCTCTCCCATAATCCAAGTTCCCAGATGCCAGTCCAAACTGCACCTTGTAGACAGGCCTTCAAAAGGATACCTGTCTCCAGCCTGCTCCATGAACCATTGTCTGTACATACACCACTTGTTTTAAAAGTCCAAGATTTAAAACAAAAATGCAAGACATCTGGCCCCCACGGGCCTCTTGTTCACAGGCCCACTCAGCTGGGGCAGAACAGCCCTATCTTTAAGTCAGGTCAGTAGGGTCTAGGGTTGGCCATTGCTTAAATCTTGTAAATTAGCTGTAGGTTTCAAAGCAGGAGGAAGTCTGATGGAGACCTACAAGGCCTCTGCATCAAAAACTACAAAATGTTATTGAGAGAAAGTAACAAGGCTCTCAACAGACAGAGCAGTATACCATGTTCATGGATAAGAGAACTACACTACTGTAAACACGTTATCCCCACCCCACCCCCCACTCCCCGATTAATAGCTACACTCACTGCAACCTCAATCACAATCCCAGTAGGTTTATTTTGGGTGGAAATTGACAAGCTGATATAAAATTTATATGAAAAGGCAAAGGGCCAAGGAACGAATAGCCAAGAAGATTGTGAAAATGAAGAGCAAGGTTGAAGACTAGTGCTACCAGATATCAGAGCTGTGATAGAGCCATAGCAGTTAGGACAGCATGGGGCTGTCAAACACAAAGGCTGCCACAAAGGCAGGCAAACTGACCAGCGGGACAGAAAGATTTGGGAGAAGAAGCCCCTCCCCACAAAACAGGCAGCAGGGCCAGCCCTGCCCGGCGAGAACAGGAGAGTCCTTTCTAACACATACCTCACGAATTACGAAACAAACAAACAAACACATCCCAGACGGACTGCATCTCTACCTGTGAGAGGCAAAGCAATGAAACGTTTCCAAGAGACATCTTTGTGACCTCAGAAGAGGCAAAAATGTCTTAAACAGGGTGCAAAATGTACTAACCATACATGGAAAAAGTAATAGATTAGACCATTGTATGGATGTCCGTTCAGCAGAGAATGAAAAGGTAATCCGCAGAGTAGAAGTTTTTCCTTATATTTGCAACATAAGGACTTATATTGAAAACACTCCTGGAAATCAACAAGAAAAGAACAAACAGGGGCACCTGGATGGCTCAGTCGGTTAAGCCTCTGACTTCGGCTCAGGTCATGATCTCGCAGCTCGTGGGTTCGAGCCCCGCGTCGGGCTCTGTGCTGGCGCTTGGAGCCTGGAGCCTGCTTTGGATTCTGTGTCTCCCTCTCTCTCTCTGCCCCTAACCCACTCGCATTCTGCCTCTGTCTCTCTCAAAAATAAATAAACATTTAAAAAAAAATTTTTTTTTAAAGATAAAACAAACATCCCAGGAGAGAAATAGCCCTGAACAGGTACTTCACAGACAAGCCAACAGGGTTCCCAAATGGCCCAGAAGCGTATGACAAGAGACCCAACATTGGCCATTAGGGAAATGCAAGGGCAGGCTGCCATGTGATACTCCTGTGCCCCCACCAGCACAGCTAAAATGAAAAATACGGAGAATACTCAGGGTTGGCAAGGCTATGGGGCTGCCATCCACTGCCGGTAGGATGGGGATTGGAACACCACTTTGGAAGACTGTGTGGCAGTCTCTAATAAAGCTGAACATATGCATACCCAATGGCCCCGCAACTCTGCTCCAACCAGAAATTCACAAGAATGTTCAGGAAGAGACATGCTCCAGAGCCCAGAACGTTTGTAGCATGACCATGAGCACCTATCTGGAGACCAACCAACAGGAGAGTGGGCCAAGTGTGGGATCCCCACCCACAGAACACTGTGCAGCAACCACCCACCCCTGTGGCCAGCGGCTTGGGTGAGTCTCCCAGACATGATGGCGCACGACAGAGCACACGATGTATGATTCCACTTACACGAAGCGCAAACACAGATGTGAGGGGCCTTCTGAGCGATACAGTGAAGGAAATGTTCGACTTTTAATGCTTGTGGGCACAGCTCCTGGACTCCCAGGGAAGCTACACTTTAACATTTACCAAGGTCAAAATGACTTGGCAAAACCTCGGAGCATGGGCTCTATTTTTGCCCTGAGCACACATTGTACATCTGCTTCGTTCAAAAAAAAAAATAACCAGAAAGGAGCATTCCAAACATAAAGATAAGGAAAAGGGAAAAAAACCCTCCCTGGTTCCCGTAAGATGAAAGTCATACAGCCCTGCATGTTCTAGAAACTTAAGGTCTGCAACTTTCTGAAACGTCCTAATGATGTGTGATATTTTACATAAAAAAATGTGTATAACCCTGCACCAAATATTCCTTCTCTGGAGCACCTTTGGGAAGATTGTATATCCCAGGCAGCTATCCTAACTTGGGCTCGAAGAAAACTCTCTTTCTCTTAAAGATTCTAAAAGGGGGGGGGGGGGGGCCGGGCTCCTGGGTGGCTCAATCAGTTAAGCGTCTGACTCTTGATCTCAGCTCAGGTCTTGATCTCAGGGCCGTGAGTTCAAGCCCCACGCTGGGCTCCACACCGGACGTGGAGTCTACATAAAAATAAACAAGCGGATACGTAAACAAATAAATAAATACTTTAAAAGATTCTAAAAGGCTCCTTCAATTTGCGTTGATGGGAGGTGCTGGCCAGGTGGGCATTCAGTTTGTGAAAACTCATACGCTCGTGGGCACTAATTCACGGGCCCTCTTTTATGTGTGTTCTACTTAAGAGTGAAGAAAAATTGGGGGACAGGAAACATGGGGTCTGGACCTGGTTTACCACACCCCACCAGGGGCCTTCTTCCTCATTTGACATTGTGACCTCCAACCCCGGGTGACCCCTGAGGCGCCTTCACCCTGTCCCATGAGGCCTCCAGGAGAATGTATTCAGTGTCAGCTGCAGTCGGGAATCATGCCAACGGGCCAGCCGATACCGTGTTGCCAGGGGATCAAAGTGCCATTGTTATTTGCTAAATTATAAAGGTTTCTAGCAATTCAGAAAGTCTAAAACCTCCTGGGTGAGACCCAGCCCTGGCTCAGGGTCCCGTTCCAAGACCACAAGTCCGAGAGGTACCAAGGAAAGGAACTGGGAGGCCCCGCCCATGCCTCCCCTGGGGTAGATGCCCAGGCCCCCTCCTGCCCAGGGGCTGGCACCATAGCCTCCACACACCAAAGCCAGGGCAGCCTGGTCCCACCACACGTGGGTCAGGAGCAGAGGCTCCAGAAGCCAGCGGCCCCAATCCCAGCTCTGACTCTTCCTGGCTGTGTGAGCCCCTCCGGACCTCCGTTCCCTCACCCGCGGTGCGGGACTGACAGCACTCTTTGACGGGGCCGTTGCAGAAATTAACTGGGATCACTCAGCACAGAGCCGGGCACAAGGCCAGCCCCTGGCAGGTGGCACCTGGCATTGTGACTGTCATTACCATTATTGTCTTCTTTGCTCTTTTGTTCACTTCCACTTTAGATGTCACCGTGCTGGATGAGGACAGTGAACTCCCCTCTCCTCCCTCAGACCTGTAAGGTAATCCAGACCATTAACCGACAAAGTAAGACCAGTGGTTAAACTTGACCAGCAAAATGGGTTTTTTTCGGGGAATAGCTGCAAATTGCGATTCGGGACGTGCCAGCCGGGGCAAAACCATGGGCAAGTCCAACAAAGAGGATTATTTTACGAGGAGGACGCTGGGAGGGGCTGTCCTGACCTGAAGATTGGCAGGAAGGAGTTCGGGGTGAGGGCGGTTTCTCACTGGCCTAGTCGCTGGGGTGGAGGGTCTCTCCTTGGAGACACCGGTCAGTCCTTCCTGCTGGGCCTGCCATCACAATGCTCTCCTGGTGAGTCTGGGGTCTGGCAGGCTGTTGCTCCGCCACCCACACCCTTGGCAGACATCGCTAATCGATCCCAGTGCCCTTTTCCCGCTGAGCCCAAGCATGGCTTCGGAATCCTTAGCCCAGGGCTCCCGGCAGCCAGACCGACTCCCGGGAAACAGCCGGTGCCATGTCCGCCGTCCCCGGTTGGTGGGAAGGGACCCAGTTCCTGCCCGGTTACCATGACGATGCCTTGACATGGTCTTTGAGCTCCCTGGCCTCCATTTTCTGGCCGGGGAGGTGGGGACACGGGCAGGAGAGTGCTGGCCACTCACCTGACTTCAGGTGCTCTCTCCTCCCAGCACCATAGCTGCAAGACCCCAGGCCACCTCCGGGCCTCTGAGCGGACGGTGTCGGGCCAGGCCGGGCTCAGGGGTGCCGGAGCACCGGCCCCGAAGGTGGCTCAGCCTGGTGCTCCCCAAATAGAAGCCCTCAAACCTCGGTGGGCAGTATTGTTCTTCCCTAACTCAGTCGACTGAAGAGCGATCTCACGTCGTTCTTGCTGCCGAAAAGATTCTAAGCCTCTGCCTTCCCGCCTGCCCCTCCCCGCCCCTCTCTGCCCCGCGTGTGTCAGACGCGTGCAGAGGAAATTCTGGTCCAGCAGCAGGTGCTGACCGGGAGCTTGGGAGGCTGCTTGGACGCAGTGAGGCCCTCAGAACGGGCTCAAGGGCTGGCTGTCCTATAGATGTACCTGACCCACCCCCCCCACCCCTCTGTATGTGTCGTGACAACTGTCTGGAGTGTGGCAGGGCCCCAGAGGGGTAAAGGGGCCCTCGGTGGGGCTGAGAGAAATCCAGGAGGGCTTCCTGGAGGAGGAGTGGGGGGCGGGGGGAAGGACATGGCCAGGGGTTGGGAGCTGAGGTCAGAGGAGTATGACAGCGGCCACTTGATCACCTCATTACTTCTCCCACCAAAAGCAAATGGTGTCAAGGGAGGGGAGAGGAAAGCCTGGCCGTTTCCTAGGAAAGGATCTACTCCCTGGCCACGGCAGCGTGTGAGGCCACCCATGGGGACACGGGCAGGCCACCTCCCTCACTCATACTTAATGGCCAGGGTGGACTTCCCCCTCGCCCCCACCCCTCCGTGGTCTCTCCTTCCTTCTTTCTCATCTTTCCCTGCTACATTCTCCTATTCTCTCCCCATCCCAGTTTGCCTGCCTGTGGGTGTGGGAGATGGGGACAGAGACACTGTCTCACCCAGCTCTGCCCTCACGGTCCCCGCTCCAGCCAGGCCCCGCTCGGCCTCCCCCCTCCACCTGTGGGCAGTGGCTGGCTCCCTGCCACTGGGTATCAGCCCGGTCCCGCCCCCCGGCCCCGCTGCCCCCAGACTAGGAACCCAGGGAGCCTGGGCCGGCTTCCCAGCACCCTCTGCCTAAAAGCATTTGGAAGCTGCCTCTGGGTCAGCGCCAGGAGCTCTCACACAGCCTGGCAGGTTGGCCAGGGTCTCCACTCCTGCCGGAAGGCCTGGAAAATTCCAGCCCTCCCATGGCCTCAAGTGCTGGCTATCCCGAGAGGTCCCCCACCCCCACTCTCCACCCCAGCTGGCCTGTTCCCTGATGCAGTCAGTGTCGGCTCACGTTGTCCTCACCGGCCGGGCCCTCGGGAATGCTGGGGCAGCCCTGGGAGGAGGCAGCTTGGCTTATGGGGAAACAGAGGTTCCGGGACACGGTGACCTTGCCCAAGTCCCTCGGCCTCGCTGGGCCTCCGCTCCATCTGGAAGCCAGTCCATCTGTGAACACGGTTAGCCAGTCCAAGGACAAAAAAAAAAAAAAAAAAGTTATGTTTTCAAAGGAATCAGATTGGTAAGAGTCTGGAGATGTCTGCCCCTCCCCAAGCCTCAGCCTTGCTGTTGGGGAGACAAGGGTTTGAGGCTGATGAATTTGTCGAACGCACTGCCAACTCCTGGTAATGAAAATGAAAACAACAGCAGCAGTGACTAAGAAGAAAAGACCTCTTGCCACGTGCCAGGCTCCGTGCTAAAGGCGTCCCACGCAAAGCCTGTGTGGACCTCAGCGCACCCCTGCAGGAATCAGCACCAGTGAGCACCCACACTTTACAGAGGCGGAGACTCAGAGAGGTCTAGGGACTTGTCCAAGGTCACACAGCCAGAGGGTGGAGAGGCAGGGATTTAACGTCTCATCTTCAGGGGACAAGGGCTCTGCTGTCCTGCCTCCCACCAACTCATTCTTCATCACAGCCATTCACTCTCGGGCAGGGCAGTCTCAGCCTGAAAAATCTCTCGCCCCGAATGCCAGTCCTGAAATGTCACCATCATCCCTCAGTTCAGTTCCTTTGGCTGATGGCTTCCCTTTTATCAATACTGCCTCCCGCTGGGGAGAAGCCACTCTGCCTTAACTCTGCCGCTGCAAGGGGATGGGGATCCCTTCCTCAGCCTGGAGAGGAGGCTTCTGCTTCTAAAACGTAGGCGATGGGGTCGGAAGACCCCGGAGGAAAAGCAGCACGGTGCGGGGATGCTGGAGGCAGAGGGAGGGGAGCTGAGACTATTTGGGGCCTATTTCGAGCCAGACAGGTTCATCAACGTGTCACCGGGCACAGTAGGGATCACTACCCCCAATTTACAGATGAGGAAACTGAGTCCCGGCAATTAAGTGAGCCACCTGAGATTGTGCCGCCGGTTAAGGTCCCAGCTGGGCCTCTCCTGGGGTCAGATGAGGGGAGACGAGCATCCCTGGGGAAGCCCGGGCTCCACGGGACGAGCTCCCGGCAGGGGCGGGCGGCCGGCGCACAGGGAGGGCTTGGCGTCCTGCAAGGGGCCCAGACCCCCCTGTGTCTCCCGAAGGCTTTGCTGGTCGTGCAGGTAGAGTGGCCGGGGTGGGGAGCGACGGCAGCTCCTCACAGACTCACTGGGCCAGAGTGGAGCCATTGCCACCAGTTACGCCCCCTGCCCGGTGCCTTCCAGCTGCTGCTTTGGATGGCCCGGGGCAGCCAGGGAAGACCCCTTCTGCCCCCGCCGCAGGGCCCCGGCCCCATGCCCCCCGAGCCCACCCCATGGCCGGCTCTGTGCCTGGGGCTCCCTGACCGGGTCATCCACCTTGACTCCTCCCACTGCCCTGCACAAGGAACAGGTGATAACACCTGCCCGGAGAGGCTATGTCACTTACTCAAGGCCGCCACGAACCCAATCAATGACAGGATGGAAATGTGAACCCAGGGCTGGGTCCAGCCACTCTCTAAACTATTGGAGTCCCTCGTCAGGAATCCTGGCCACTCCACATAGCATTGCTTCCTGCTGTGGTAAGCATCCCGGATTATTTGGACTCGTCCTCTCCTTTGAGCACGAGTTCGCGAGAGTCTCCGTGAGCCAAGCCTCGCGCCGGCCTCTGGGGATGAAACAGTGACCAAGCAAGACAGCGTCTGTGCGTCAGGGACCCCCACAGTCGGGCGGGCAGACAACCCCAGGAGTTAGGGCGGCGTTTCGAGCAGCGGGTTGCCCTCCAGGTTTCAGCGAGAACCCAGGACGCGGGGCCTTGGGCTGGCCTGGGGGTCCGGGGAGGCCAAAAAGGAAGCCTGGGGCTGACATCTGGTCCAGAGTAATGGGAAGAGAGAGGTCAGCAGCCGGCGGGGAGAGGGGAGCTCCCTGGCACAGAAGGACCTGTGCGTGACGACGAGGGCAGGGCAAGGGGGAGTCAGGGAGCCGCAGGCCAGGGCGGCCGGGCAGAGAGGGTGATGGAGCCTGGCAGGGCCAGCGTCCGATGGAGAACAGTGAGGGTCCGGAGAGTACTGGCAGTGCTTGCCAGAGCCGGCAGTGGGACGGGGCGACGTGACAAGGGCGTTGGCCGACACCCGAGCGGCCTGCTAGAGGTCCCCCTGCAGAAACGGCCCCCGCACGGTCCTCTGCCCACTCCCTTTGTGGACGGCTGTTGTCTCTTGACTCCCAGGGGACCACATCTTACAGGAACCGATGCCTCGTCATTGCTGTAGTAGCTCCGGTCTCGGTGGCAGCTGTGCTGAGCCCCTGAGGGGTGTGGCTTGCTCTTTGCTGAAGTCTGGCCTCTGGGTGCCCTCCCCCCCCCCCCGAACTTCACGTCTTCACACACACCCTGTCCCGCAGAGGAAGTTACGGCCCAGCAGCAAGCATGCCCTTCCACACCGCCTCTGGCGTCCGATCCGGCCGCCATGAACCCCGGGGCACTGTCCAGCACCACTGGCCAGCTGTGATGTGGACGCCCTCCCAGAGCCCCACCAGGAGGCTGAAAGCCCACAGGGGACCGGTTCTGGGCTCCCCCCAAAGCCCCCCGCCCACCGGGTACTCGTGCATCATTCATTCCACGGTGATTGATGACACGTGCCGGGCACTGTCCTTGAGGGCTGGAGTCCCGACGGGGAGACGTCCAGGTGGAGCAGGGCACACCCCACAGTGAGCGAAGGGCTAAGGTGTTACAGGCCCTGCCTTCCCACCCCGACCGCCTCGGTGGAAGACGCCTCCCGCACCTTCAGCTCGGCTCCTCCGCCTCCTTGTCGCTTCCCACCTCCTGAGACTAAGTCAGACGCCATCCAGGCTTCTTGGCTGTAGGATTCTAGGCTCTTCTTGGTGGAGGCAGGACCCAGAAGGGCAGTCAAGAGGCCTCTCTTCCACCGAGGGAAAACAGAACATCCACCAAAGCTGGTCGCCAAGCAGATTCATACTAAGCTAGATTGGTGTTTTCAATTGGCCAGGGGCCTAGAATCCGACTGGCAGGGACGGAGCGGACAGATGGGATCCTATATGAAGCCACTGACTCACTCAACTTCGAAAGAGAAGAAAACCTTATTAGTCAATGTTTCAAAGGGCTGCGACTTCACAGGAAGCTTCTCCGGCCCAGCCAGCTGGAGCGGCCTCCCTGGCTGGCACCGCCCGGCCCTGCTGGAGGCCCCCGCCCCCTTCTCAGCCCGGCGCCCGCCGGCCGGGTCCCCCGGAGCTGCTCCTTCCTGTCGCCGGGGTTCCCGTGTGCACACCGGCCCGAGGGAGTCCACGCCGCCCTCACGGCCACATCCCCACTCTGAGCTCGGAGTGATCTATCTGCGCCTCCCCACCCCCTGCCAAATTCATCTGCTGTCATTCCAACTCCAAGGGCCTCAGGATGTCACCTCATCTGGAGACAGGGTCTCGACAGAGGTATTGAGTTAAAGTGGGGTCGTCGGGGTGGGCCCTAAGTCAATGTGACGTCCTTCCAAAATGAGGAGGCCTGCGCACGGGTACACACGAGAAGGCAATGCAGAGCGACCCCGGGGGAAAGGGCCCGTCCGCAAGCCTAGGAGAGAGTCTGCAATGTGTCCTCGCCGCCCTCAGGAGGAGCCAGCGCTGATCTCAAGCTCCTGGCCCCCAGAACTGGGAGACAAGAGATGTCTGTCGCTTAAGCCACGGAGCTTGTCGTACCTGGTTACAGCAGCCCCAGGAGACTATGACCTGACCCCCGACGCTGCCCATCCCACGGGCTCCACCCCCCACCGGGCGTCCAGCACGTGCCTGGACACGGACACCTGCCCAGCCCAGTGTGACAC